ATACCTCATCTCAGAAATATAGACAGATACTGAAGGGCCGGAACATTGTAATAAATATGGCGACAAAGATGAGGACAATAGTCTGAATAATGTAAATAGTGTACAAAATACCTCATCTCAGAAATATAGACAGATACGTTTTTTTTTCTTTTTTTCTTTTTTTTTTTTTTTTTTTGATCAAGTACAATATTTCCCAGGTCAGACAGCCACCATATTCGCTAGATCTATCCTCTCGCACGTTTTTCCTATTTCCAAAAACCAAATCCAACTTGAAGTGACAGGACCCAAAGAAATTGAGTTCAATACCCGGTTAAGGCAGTGGAGAACTTGGAGAGGGGAATTAACAGGAGATAACTGACATCCATTAAACATGGGACGTGTAACTAGAAGAGCAAGAGAAATAAAGTTCAGTTCGACATTCTAACCACCTGAAGAAGGCCGGAGCGTACAACGGCCGAAACGTTGTAATAAATATGGCGACAAAGATGAGGACAATAGTCCGAATAATGTAAATAGTGTACATAATACTTCATCTCAGAAATATAGACAGATACTGAAGGGCCTAAACGTTGTAATAAATATGGCTACAAAGATGAGGACAATAGTCCGAATAATGTAAATAGTGTACATAATACTTCATCTCAGAAATATAGACAGATACTGAAAGGCCGAAACGTTGTAATAAATATGGCGACAAAGATGAGGACAATAGTCCGAATAATGTAAATAATTATTACATAATACCTCATCTCAGAAATATAGACAGATACTGAAGGGCCCTAAACATTGTAATAAATATGGCTACAAAGATGAGGACAATAGTCTGAATAATGTAAATAGTGTACATAAATACTTCATCTCAGAAATATAGACAGATACTTTTTTGTTTTTTTTTTGTTTCTTTTTTTTTTTTCGACAAAATTTCCCAGGACAATAGTCCATATTCGAATAATCCCTCTCGTAAATAATGTACAAAATACCTCATCTCAAAAAATATAGGACCCAAAGAAATTTTTCCAATACCCGTTTTCTATTAAAACATTTTTTTGTATTTTTCTCCCTTTAAATTTTTTTTAAATTCAATGCAATAATAAACATATTTTGATTCAGCGACATTCTTGACTTTATTCTTCTTCTTATTATTATTAACGTTATTTTTTCTTCTTCTTCTTCTTCTTAAATCTTCTTCTTAAATATTATTAATATTTCATTATTAAATTATTATTAATATTTCCTATTTTTGTAAATCTAATTATTGAGGATATATCTGAATAATTAAATATTATATATTCCATCATGCTGTAGAAAATATTATCTTTCTTTTAATTTGAAAAATGTGACAAAGATGAATAAAATGTCTAATGTAAATAATGTTCATATATATCATTTTAATATTTTTTATTAAAATTTTTCTAATTATTTTTTTAAAAAAATTGACAATATTTCTTTAAATATTAAATTTTTTCTTTTTTTTATATTTTTAATATTTTCTTCGAAATTTATTTTTTTATTTTTATTAATTTTCATTTTCTTTTTCTTTTTTATTGAAATTTTTATTATTTTTATTATTAAAGACTATTTTTATTTTGAATATTTTTTTATTAAATAAAATTTTTTTGTTTTTTTTCATTTCATTTTTTTAATATCAAAAAAATTTTTCATTTAAGGTTCTTGTATTTTCTTTAATTTTTTTTTTTTATTTAATTAAAATTTGTTAAAATAACAATATTAGCCGTTTGATTTTTTTTGTTTTTATTGAAACACGAAATTATAAATTTATTTTTTTTTGATCGTTTAATGTTTCTGCTGAAAGATATAGCCTTTTGAGATAATAAAATAAATTAATTTCTTAGCAATAATAAATGTTCATCTCTGTACAAAACAGCCTTTTCATTTAATCACTCAAATTTGAAATAAATATACTAATAGATGATAAAATACCCATTGTTTTTATTTTCATCCAACTTTATATTTAAAATTTATAATAAAAAATTGAACAGGTTTCCGTAAGATTCAATTATAAAGACTATTAATTGAAAATTTAGGGGTTCCAATTGGGGATAAAATGTATGAGGGCAAGATAATGATTAATCGAACAGGAAAACGATTATTTTAAAATTATTTCATAATTGTTCTAGCGAATTCGAACTAAACTAGTCATAATTGTTCTAACCAAACGAATTTTAACCCCTTTTAATGATTTTAATAAATTTCTTAGATGTTGGCCGAAAGTAAAGCTATCACCCAATGAGTTATCGAACTTACTATTCAGTCGTAATTGTTCTAGCGAGACAAGCTTGTTAACCATTACACCACCTTTATGTGCCCCAAATGATTTTTTTAATGGTAGCTTAGATGTGACACTAGGCAGAAAAAATTGGGGCACCCAGTAGGATCGAATTCGGTATTCAGTCGTAATTGTTCTAGCGAGACAAAAATTATTAACGATTTCGACTGCCTCGATTTTCAAAATGATTTTCCAATCGTTTGAAAAAAGGCACATTGCCGAAAGTATGGGGCATTGTGAGGATCGAACTCACTACTCAAAAGTAATTGTTCTAAAAACAAACTTTCTAACTATTGCAAGTCCATGTGTGATGCCCTTTTATTTTTTTATTTTTTTAGCGTTTATAGTCCCGAAAGTAGAGAGCACCCGGTGAGGATCGATCTTAGTCGTAATTTTTCTAGCGACACACGCTTGTTAACCATTACGCGACGTCGAAGTGCTCAAGGTTATATTTGTAATTATAGGGAAACACCCTCTTGTGTATCGGTTCCCCAAAGCAGCAGTGGAACTGACATCTCACCAATGGAATCCAAAGTGAATGAGGGTAACTCGCTGAAATGGGCGTGGCATGGCAGGTCCTAGACGTGAAGTTTAGAAATGGCGGAACTAAGGATTGTCGTTCGTCTGAACATGATATTGAAAAAGTGACCGAGAAGCGAGAGGCTTTCGACTTTTCCTGGGGTGCGAAAATGGAAAATAATTCATCACCCACAGGGCAGTGTTGCGGCATTTGTAATCTATCGAAAAGAACATGAAGACTGGGCATTTCCATTCCATATGTGTTAGCAGTATTCCATTTTCAGCCTGAGCTATCTCCTGTAAATATGGCGGATAGAAGGTGAAAACAGGTGCTACTTACTGAAGCTGTACGAGGAACTGACCATTTATCCGAGCATCTTTAGCGATGAATCGTAGATACGCGTCTCGCTACAGGTCTGGGTTGGGCTTTAGTCAAAATAAGCGCTCAAAGCACGGGCCTTGCCTGGGAGGATAGCCAATAAGCGAAAAAAAAAAAAAATCAATTGATAGAACGTTAATTTATGTTTGTTTTTTCCAGCTATTGAATGTAAACCAGCCATTTTAAGTACGAACACACACACACACACACACACACACACACACACACACACACACACACACACAGATACACACACACACAGATACACACACACACACACAGATACACACACACACACACACACAGAGATACACACACACACACACACACACACAGATACACACTAGGAAAGAAAGAAAATCAACTTTGCACACATAAAATGCATATATGAAAGAAAAACAAGAAAAATAAAGATCAATTGCTGATATCATCTGACGATTAAACGGAGTGATTGCTGGAGATTGAAAATCGAGAGTCGGCATGATGAAAGTAATACTAATCAGCTCTGTGACAAATTATATATATATATATATATATATATATATTTTAAGCGGTATCACCAAAAGCAAGACTGTGCAACCACTAACACGTAAGGGTTTATAGGTCATAGAGGAATTTGGAACAGAAACATTAATAGCAAGACAGTAAAGCCACTAAGACGCAAGGGGTTACTGGGTGTGGAAGAATTAGGAACAGAAACATTAATAATAAGCGGGAAGAAGAAAGAATAATCAGGAGGACAGTAGATAGTGATTGACATTGCATTTATATATTTGATGATTAAAGTTGGCTGGAAAGCATGGAGCCGGAAGGGAGTTCCACAAGCAAGGGAGTAAAGCCACTAAGACATGAGGGGTTACTGGGTGTGGAAGAATTAGGAACAGAAACATTAGTAATGAGTGGGAAGAGGAAAGAGTAATCAGGAGGACAGGAGATAGCGATTGGCATTGCATTTAAATATTTGAAGATTAAAAATGGCTGGAAAGCATGGAGCCAGAACGGAGTTCCACAAGCAAGGCAATAAAGCCACTAAGACACAATGGGTTTACTGGGTATGGAAGTATTAGGAACAGAAACATTAATAATGAGCGGGAAGAGGAAAGAGTAATCAGGAGGACAGGAGATAGCGATTGACATTGCATTTAAATATTTGAAAATTAAAGTTGGCTGGAAAGCATGGAGTTCCACAAGCGAAAAATGCAAGAAAGGAAACTGTTAGCATAGAACTTACGGCTACAATTAGCCAGGCCAACGGTAAATTGATGAGATCTCACCTCCAGTCTAGTATTGCGCTTAAATTTATACAGTCAAGGTACCGTAGCGAAGAGCTCATCCGGACAATCACCATGAAAATATTTACAAAGAATGGCACAGAGAATCACCCTTAGGTTGGCGGGCAAGTGACTGAAGCCAAGCTGACAGATCAGGACTAATAATGTCGCTGATTCTTCTTTGGATTTTATGAAGGATCTTAAGGTGAACAGTAGGGGCACCGGACCATATATGGCAGCAATATTCAAAGCATGGACGAATGGTCGACTTATAGATATGCAAGATAGATTCCAGGAAGAAAAAATGTATCAGCAATAGTTTTGTAAGGAAAGGAGAATCCTGTATAATCTGTTGTTAAATGCATCACGCACACAATACTGTACTTTTACGATGGTCACTCATATGTTACTAACAATGCTTAACAGAGGAATGCGGTTGAAATAAATGCTATCAATGTTTTAAGGTCTTCAATCGAGATGAAAGGAAAATAGGAAGAAAGGTATATCAACAATGTCACTAAGGCTGTAATTACTGTTAAGGTGGATGCGGTTGCAGCTTTTCATTGACGAGATGGTCGGTCGAATAGCAACAGAAGCTTTCTGTCAGAAGATAAAGTCGGTATGAATGCCAATAAAAATTGATGACCAAAGAATTTGAGTTTAAAGGCAAAAGAATTAAGCAAGACGTGAAAGAATAGAAATATCAGGTCGTCCCATAATTTCTGTCCGAATTTTGAATAAAGAAAACAAGTAACCAAATGTTACATTTAATTACAGATTCAATCAACAATGTATTTTCCCTGATTATCTATGACTTCCTTCCATCTATTAACAAGCTTACTAATTCCATTACTGTAAAATTCTTTTGGCTTTGATTCGAAGAACTCACAAATGTCAGTTTTAACCTCTTCCTGTGTTACAAAAGCTGTTTCTTCCAAATGATTCTGTAAGCTACGAAACAAATGGTAGTCTGAAGGAGCAAGATCGGGAGAATAAGGTGGATGAGGAATTTTCTCCCAACCAAATTCTTCGATCTTTTGTGACGTGATTCTTGCTGTGTGGGGTCGCGCATTGTCCTGATGAAACATCACCTCTTTTCGATTCACTAGAGCAGGTCTTTTTTTCCTCAAAGCTTGGTTCAAACGCTCTAATTGCTGACAGTATATTTGAGCATTAATTGTTGCATTAGGTGGTAAGAATTCAAAGTGGATTATTCCTTGGCGATCCCACCAGATTGAAAGAAGAACCTTTTGCCCATGAAGTTCCCTTCTCGGATGTGGCTGGGGTCCTTCCCCTTTACCAAGCCACTGTCTACGACGCTTAACATTTCGATAAAAGATCCATTTTTCGTCGCCAGTCACAAGTCTATCCAAAAAAGGTGAAACAAGTTGGCGAGAATGGAGAGAAGAGCAGATGTCAACTCGGGATTTGAGGTTGTTTTCAGACAATTCATGAGGCACCCATTTTCCAAGTTTAGGAACTTTTCCAAGTTGTTGAAGATAACGATGAACAGTAGTATGGTTTGAACTGAGAACCACTGCCAATTCCTCAACTGATAAAGCAGGATTTTCTTCAAAGGCTGCTTCAAGAATCTTTTCATCAAACTTAACTGGACGTCCGGTTCGATCTTCATCTTCAAGGGTGAAATCTCCACCTCTGAATTTTGCAAACGATCTTCTGCAAGTTCTTTCATTCACATATTCCTCTCCATAAACTGAGTGAATGGTTCTAGCCACTTCGCCTTCTGAGTTTCCTTTCTTGAACTCATAAAGCATTATGTGCCTCAAATGATTCTTGGGTACTTCCATGTTAGCAGGGTTTTAATCAAACACAATTTAATTTTATTGTTCTCTGAAATAAAATTTGATCAGTTTAAATGCATCTAAACATAAAAAATAATGTTCAGCTCCATTAGACATTATAAAATACTCATTAAATTTCGTTCATTTTAACAAAAAGTTAAAAGTCGAGCAGAACTTCTGGGATGACCTGATAGTTAAAATGAATTAAAATTCTATGATCCTCTTTTAAATGCGGTTTCCTTTTCCGCGGTTTAAAGAAAGAAAATCCGTCACATAACAGATTTGTTCAATTTTATTATTAGGTATTTCTCTTAATCTTTTATTGCGCCAAATAAGATCTACGGTAAGAAATTACGATTTTTAAAATCTTTTTCATCATGATTCTATTTGGTCAAAAGGCCTACATATATACAATAAACATTATTAGTCTTATTAGCAAAACTATTTTGCTTTTTTTATCTCTCGAATTTCTTTCATTGGCTTATTATATCTATCTATCTATCTATCTATCTATCTATCAAAGCCTGTTCATATCTATCTATCTATCTCAGTCGGTTCATATCTATCTATCTATCTATCTATCTATCTATCTATTTCAGCTTGCTCATTTTTATCTATCTATCTATCTATCTATCTAAATTTATTTATTATCTATCAGTGAACAGAGCTTCTTAGCAGCTGACCGAGCAATGGATTCAATATAGCCTTTCCATTTCACTCCTGGTGGATGGTATCAGACATGCTAATGGAAGACACAGAGGGGCTTCTCAGAAGATTAATGGAGAGAAGTTTAATTTTGGAGATGTTAAAATTGACAAGCCATCTTTTTTCCCCAGTTTAACGACGGTCTTGCTGTGGTTTTGTATATCTGCTGTCATTTTGACTTTGTCTGGCTGATCAGCGTTACTATCAAAGCTGGAGTAAAGTGTAGTGTCGTCAGCATAGATGCCAAGTTATGAGCCGATATCATTGGGAAAACCAGGGTAGGACCAAAAATTGCGCCCTGGGGGGGACACCCGCATTAGTACGAACGGAGGTAGTGAGTGGCCGTTCAGGACAACTTTCATTTCACGATTTGATAGGAACGACTGCATCAGCTCAAAAATGTGCCCGGAGATGTAAACACCAAGGTCATGCATGTGAATGCTGGAATCTTTTCAGCAAAGGGAAAGATACCCCGAAACCAAGAATTCATTGGTAGCAATGGAAGAATTCAAGTTGGTTTCACAAAGGGCAATGGTATTTGGTGACCGTTCCAGAAGAAAAGATTCTACACTGCAGAAGTTAGAATGGATAATTCAGTCTGTTGATTATCTATCTATCTATCTATCTATCTATCTAACTATCTATCTATCTATCTATGTCCATTATCTATCTATCTATCTATCTATCTATCTATCTATCTATCTATCGATCGATCGAAGTCTGCTCATATCTATCTCAGTATGTTCATCTCCCCCTCTCTCTCTCTCTCTCTATATATATATATATATATATATATATATATATATAATATATATATATATATATATATATATATATATATATATATATATGTCTGATCATATCTATCTCAGTCTGTTCGTATCTATCGATATGAGTCTGTTCATATCTATCTATCTATCTATTTATCTCAGTCTGTTCATATCTATCTATCTATCTATCTATTTCAGTCTGTTCATATCCATCTATATCTATCTATCTATATATCTATCTCAGTCTGTTATTATATATCCCTGTCTGTTCATATCTATCTATCTATTTGAGTCCGTTCATATAAGAGTAGTCAGCAGCCTCGAGAGACGGTTCCCTGGCCATTGGAAGATTATTCCGTAAGTAAATACCAAGGCCATGCATGTGAATACTGGAATCTTTTCGGCAAAGAGGAGATGCCCCCAAACCGAGAATTAATTAGTCACAATGGAAGAATTCAAGTTGGTGTCACAAAGGACAAAGATATCTGGTGACCGTTCCAGGAGATAGGATTCTACGCTGCTGAAGTTGGAATGGATACCGCAAATCTTGGAGAAAGAAATATCCAGGTGAGTAGATGGTTCTTTCTTAGCTGATTTGGTTTTATTTCTTTGTGTTGTGATTTCCATGAGATATGTTTTGAGAAGAAAGGAAAAAGTCCACCATGATTGTCAATATCTGTCGTTAATGGCAATATAAACCAGCCAGGGTGTGGCTGAAAGCAAAGCATAATGTAGCTTCAGGATTGGCCACTGGAAATACATGCAGGGACACTTACCCATGTGCGACATGGCACCATAGATACCCCGATATTATGCGGAGGAGTCTTTCTAAGCGCTACCAAAGAGTTCGGGATCCTAACGACCAATCGTATGTAGCAGGCAGCAATCTGCCAACCCGGTACCCTCATAATGGAAAGTCACAGCCACTGGTTAGTCTAATCACAAAAGAGTTAAGATAGTTAAATCATTGTGCCCCTGGTAATAGAAAGAAAGGGAACCAATAAACCATATCCTGAACAGGGACCGTCCTGGTTAAGACGTTAAACTAGGTCCAGCAGGGAGGCCTCTGATCAGGAGGTTTTGAAGAGCGTTTGCTGGTGTTTCCAGGTCAACCGTAACACAGATACTGAAAGGCTTGAACGTTGTAATAAATATGGCGACAAAGATGAGGACAATAGTCCGATAATGTAAATATTGTACATAATACCTCATCCTAGAAATATAGACAGATAATGAGGGGCCGAAACGTTGTGATAAATATGGCGACAAAGATGAGGACAAGAGTTCGAATAATGTAGTGTACATAATACGTCATCTCAGAAATATAGACAGATCTGCAGAATATTAATCGAAACAAAGACATCGTAATCAGCATTAAATAATTATGATTTCTGAGTCGTATAAACAGCCATATTTAATTGATTTTAAAAATATATTTTTTGGAAAAGCCTTTGTTGCGTATTTTCTTGTTTTTATTCAATAATTTAAAACTAAAACTAAAATTCAGCCATGATAACTATTGATCGTCTTCTGTGTACACTTATTTTAAATGTACAAAAGCGAAATCTTGGTCGCTCTGCATTTTCTTGTCTATGTTCAAAATTCTCTTAATTTTAAAATTTGTTTATATGAAGTCATTCGCAATTTAAGACTTCCATTAATACACAGAAACATGTATATATATATATATATGAACAAATATGTTTTCCATTAACAATTTTAAGTAAATTTGAAATCCCATAGCACTTGTAAGAGTTCCAAGAATTCAATGTTGTTCTTCATGGTTTTTTTTATATTAATTCTTATATTATTTAGTAACAAAAATAAATTTTGTCTCTGATTCATATGGCAACGTAATCATTTTTTTCAAAACTGATTCTGATGCAACTCTAAGATATTTTTCATCTGTAATACTGATGACAGAAAAAGAAATTCTGTTCAAGATAGATTCCTTCGTTACCAAAAGAATTCTGTTAAACATTGAATATTTTGGGAACAAATGGACTTTGTTCATCACTGGTTCCTATGCCAAGAACTCATTCTCTTCACTAGAGTTTTTCATGGCATTAAAAGAATTATTTTTACCCTAGATTCCTGTGGCCACAAAGCATTCTGTACACCATTGTTTACAATGAAATCAAATGCATTCTTTTAAATTTAATTCTTATGTTTATATATAATTTATTTGCCATTGATTCCTGTGGCGCCAAAATCATTCCGTTCACCATTGATGCCTAAAGCATTATAAACGCTATGTACACCATTGTACTATGTACACCATTGTACTATGTACACCATTGTACTGTGTACTCCAATGTACTATGTACACCAATGTACTATGTCACCAAATATCTCTGTTCAACATTGCATCAAACGCATTCTATCCACCACTGATTCCTGTCAGGAAAACCATTTTCTACGACTTTGATACCTATGGAAACATGGGCATTACGTTCGTCATTAATTCTTATGCCACCAAAAGCATTCTGTGCACCACTGATTACCATGGAATCAAAAGTATTACGTTCAAGATCGAGTCTTATGGCAACACATGCCTCATATTCGCCAGTCATTTCTACGGAACCAAAAACATTCTGTTCATCATTATAATCTCATGACATCAAAAGTGTTCTATTCACAATTGATTCCTTTGCCGCCAAAAATATTCCATTCACGTTTGATTCCTATGGAACCAAATAGTTATGTCCTCCATGTCACCAAATCATTCTGTTCGAATCCTATGATATTAAAAGCATTCTGTTCAAATTTGATTACCCTGACAGCAAGAAAATAATTTTAAACATTGATTATTATAGCATCAAACCAGATTGTTCACCATTAATCCATAAGACACGTAAAGTATTATCTTCTCCATTGCTTTCTATGGCACCAAAACATTTTTCAACAATGTTTCTGATGACGCTGAAGCAATTGTTTCAATATTGATACCTATCCTACCAAAACTATTAGCTTCATTAATTCCTTTAATATTTGAGAAAAGATATTCACTATTTATTTTAGTAGGATTTCAACCTCGATCTTTGTGGCTCCAAATATTTTGTTCAGTATTGATTTCTACAGTACCAAAAGCATTCTTATCAACATTTATTCCTATGGTACTAAAGGATACTGTTCGATTGATTCCTCTTCGACATTGCTTTTTCTGGGACCAAAAGCATTCTGTTCATCTTTGACTCCTATCTCACTAAAACATTGATTCTAATAGCAGGAAAACCATTTTTTCACTCTTATTTACTATGACATTCGTTTCAATCTTTATTCTTATGGAACCAAATAATTCTGTTTAACATTGTTTACTACGGAGCCAAACGCATTCTGTTCTTCATCGAGTCTCCTGGCACCAAAACCATTATGATATTCACCATTGCTTCTTATGGCACCAAAAACACCATTTTCACAATTTATTCATATAGCACTGAACAATTTTTTCTTTGCATTGATTCCTATCTCACTAAAAAAGCATTCTGTCCAACAATGATTTCCTTGGCATCAAAAGTGTTCTTTCCAACACTTAATTCCATGGCATCGAAAGCATTCTGTACAACATTGTTTTTCCATGGCATCGAAAGCGTTCTTTCCAACACTAATATCCATGGCATCAAAAAGCATTCTGTCCAACATTGATTTCCAATTCGATATATATATATATATATATATATATATATATATATATATATATATATATATATATATATATATGTAAGCAAATGTAAATGGATATAGATCCGACAGAATGAAAAAATTTTGAAAAAAAACAAACCAAAAATCCTTAAATGCAATTATGTTGTTTTAAAATGAATGAAATGTTGACGTCTGACGTTTCAACAAATAATAAACCTTCTTCATTTTTCCAAATTTATTCATTAAAAATACAATTTAGTTCAATTTGACAAAAGACGATGGACTTGTTTTTTTATGTCCATCGTCTTTGCCAAATTGAACTGAATTGTATTTTAATGAATATTTTTTAAATAAATTTTATTAAACCGAAACGTCCAAATCGACATTTCATTCATTTTAAACAAATATAATTACATTTAAGAATTTTTTTGGTTTGTTTTTTTAAATTTTCTTCATATATATATATATATAAAGAAAGAAAGAAAGAAAGAAAGAAAGAAAGAAAGAAAGAAAGAAAGGCAGGCAGGCAGGCAGGCAGGCAGGCAGGCAGGCACGGCGGAGTAGTGGCTAGCTGCTCGGATTAAGGAATCGGTGGTGAGGAGTTCGAATTCCAAGCGAATTCATTTAAGTGCTAATACCCTTTGGAAAGGTATAAATTCTCTTCTATGAGTAAATAGAAAGACAAACTGGGTTCTATAGCCTTGGATGGCAACTGGTCTAGTAGAAGGAGAGCGGAGCGTCGTTTGAGGACCTTGTGGCATGTGGTGCACCAGGTCTCTGTATTCGGCTCTTTAAAATGTGTGCACAAAGCCTTCACTACTGCAATCAAGTCATATGTGCAGATATCTGGCTGTCAGTTCCTACTTTCTTGACCCTCATACGAAAAAAAAACGACGATAGAGTCAATAATTTTGCTTTATTAAAATTCATAGCTAGCTAGCTAGATAGATAGATAGATAGATAGATAGATAGATAGATAGATAGATTGAAAAATATGAACAGAATGAGATAGATGCATAGAAATATATGAACAGACTGAGATAGATAGACAGATAGATAGATATGGTCAGAATGAGATATATATGAAAAGAATGAGATAGATAGATAGATAGATAGATAGATAGTTAGATAGATAGATAGATAGATATTGACAGAATGAGACATTTATGAACAGAATGAGATATATATGAACAGAATTATGTAGATAGATAGATAGATAGATAGATAGATAGATAGATAGATAGATATTGACAGAATGAGATATATATGAACAGAATGAGATATATATGAACAGAATGGGGTATATATGAACAGTATGAGATAGATAGATAGATAGATAGATAGATAGATAGATAAGGCTGCATTTACACTTTTGAAGATGCTTTATTATAAAGTATAGGCATTTTATGTCTATTAAGTTTAATCAACAGTTTAATCATTTAATCCAAAATGTTGAAACAACCTTAGCCATTTTGTTTTGATGTCTAAATTAATCGTTTATAATTTGGCAAATATTTTCTGAAAGCATATTCGAGTTATTGAGCATCATGTGATTTGCATAATAGCTTCAGACGGACTGTATATAAGAAAACTGGCTTAATAAAACCAAAGAATTTACAGGGATTGCGTGATTTTGATGTTATTCGATA